AATACGTTAGGAGAAGGGTCGGACACGTGGCGGACGGTGGTTCGGTTCCCGTACGGAGGAGACAGTGGTGGTTTGCGGTGGCGCAGTGGCAGTTGCAGTGGTGGGGCAGCGCGAGTGCTGCAGGTTTTTGCCTTTCTTGTGCCAACATTTTGCCCCGGCCGTTTTGCCCCTCTGCCCTCTAAAGTCTTTATTTAGGAAATATATTTGAATTATTATTATTTTTTTTAATCTTTTTCTGTGAAAAAATAACAAAAGTTGAAATTCTCAATTAATTATTGTCCTTATTATTATTGTTATTATTATTATTATTATTATTATTAAGAAAATAAATATTACAGAGGTGAAGGATTTTGAAATTTTGCTCTAGCAGGGTGTAAGTTGGTGTTCACTTTTTAGGGAGATATTACGATCCCATTACGGAACCATTCCGTCGAGGTTTGTAACCGTTTGAAATTATCTCTGACGGTTACATGATAATCTAATAGTTACAAACCCCAATCGTTCCGTAATGAGACCGTAGCATTTGTCCACTTTTTATTTTGCACACAAAGTGCCAAAAAAAAAAGGCTTTGTTCAATGGGATGAAAATGGCAAGAAACTAATTGCAAATTACAGAATGCAAAATAAATAAATAAATAAATAAACCCTATATGTTAATGCACAATGTTTCGATTGTATATTATAGTGCTTTGTAATCCAATGAATAAGTAAAGTTTGGTAATCTTATGCATCAATTTTGTATGTTTTATAGATGTAGATTCTATCGATCGATACCTATTATGACTTTTAAAATGATTAAACACTCTACTAACTTAAATTATTGATATATTTAAAGTTAATAATCTTTTTGTTAAATTAATAATCTTTATATTTGACATCATTTTTTCATATATGATATATCAAATTAATCATCTTTTAGTTTTGATATATATATAATTTATTTTTATTATAAAATTAAATCATCTATTAATAGTATTCAAATTGTAGAAGTGTAAAAGTCTCATAAACAATATAAATGGTAATACAATTTTTTTTTTAAATGTATATAAAATTTAAATAAAAAAATCTCTTATAATTTTTTAGAATTTCGGTTTTTAAGTCGCTAGGCGCCCGCAGGCGCTCGACCAGCGCCTAAAACGTCTAGGCGGGGCCTAGAAATCAAGATTAAAAATACTTTATTTTTTATTTATTTTAACTATCTACAAAATAAAACTATCTCAACTTATAATAAATCAACACATCTGAGTCCAAATAATAATATTAGTATATTATAAAAAAAATATGATAACAAAATAATGTAATTAGTATTTTAAAAATTAAAAAATACTTAGATAAATTTTGAAATTTCCACGGAGTGCGTATTTAATAAATCAACACACCTAAGTCATAATATATATTAGTATATTATAAAGAAAACACGATAACAAAATAATGTAATTAGTATTTAAAAAAAAATTAAAAATAAATTGAAAACCTTTCGCCGAGCCCGCCTAGGCGCCACCTAGCCGTCTGACTGATTTTTTCAACCAATTTATGCAAATCGGTAGTCGGGCATCGTCTAGTGTCTAGGCGTCACCTAGGCCGA